TATGTATAGTCTATAGACTCTATACTATGGCCTTCAAAAGTATTTGTACATTATGTACATATAGGGACTCAAAAAATTCTTTGTATGACTATCAAACTTATTAATCGGAATTATGAAGACAACTAGAAAGTCATTCTTACAAAATCAATCGCAAAAAATAAAAGAACATTTTTAATATTGAACATTAGAAAAACATAAATTATACCTCATATGGAATAGATACCCAAATATAGAACACTGCCATCAGATATAATAATTTCATGGAAAACAAACAAAAAGTAGTTTTCTTCTTCTTAATGATTAAGACACTTTAGTTATAAAATCACAGTATTAAAAAATCATATAAAATCAAGTGTCAACATGGTAAAATAATAAATAAATACGAAAAATACATCTTTACGCACCGTCAAAAGTTTTCGAACAACAGCAAACCAAAACAGCACTGCCACAACACTGTTTGTTCGACTGAAGAATCACAACGTAAGCATGTGGTGAGCAAAATGGACGAGTGAAATAGCCTATAGTCATTTGACAAATATTCATTTGTCAGATTTTAAAAAATGCCACTATTTCATATTAGGCACATGTACTGTTCCATATTTGGCCACTCTCTTCTATATTTTTGCCGTTTTTAAATTTGCTAAAATGTTATGGTAGACAGATGTTTTTCATGTACATAGATACATCTACATTATATGTATGTATAATAAATGACTTCGAGAAAATATACGTGACAAAGTAATAATATAAGAAGACAATCCATACCAATTTTTTTAAATTTTGTAGCGGGATGAAAGAAAGAATTGTACTTACTATCAAATAACAACTAATAATTATAAAGATGCAGTGTTTTTTTTTAAACTTATTTTAGAAAAAGCAATTTTTAATGACATTGTTATGCTCATAGATTCTTTAAGCCAATATTTTAAAGAGAACCGATAGTATATTTTCAGGTCATTCATTTAAATTTTCATTAAAATGTTGAATATGTAATACGTCTTTAGTTTAACAGTAACAGTACAGATGTATACGCCACCTAAGCTCGGTACGGAATCGTGTGGCGCACGCGGAGCGAGCTGCGAAAGGAGCTGGAAACCAATTCCGAGCAATGAAGACGATCTTTTCCCGTGTATCGTTATCTCGCGGGCCATTATTCCAAGAGTTATCGCCGCCAGTTTGATTTATCGTTCCAAAACACCAAGAAACTTGGCTGAGCCCCCGATGCATCGTGGATCGCATTTCTGCGAAGAACAGTTCTATCGCTCCATGAAAACGACGTCAGAGAAAAGATAATGGCAGATGAGAATATAGGAAATCAAGGGGGTGATTTAGCGAGTAGATTTGCATTGCGAATTTCTTCATCATTAATTGTAAATGAAAATGACGGAAGTAAATATGTATGTTGTTTGTGAAACTAGTCGAATCTTCTATGGATTATTACTAATAATATTAATCATGGATCAGATCAATATGATTAATTTATTATTTTTTAACACTGTTTATTCATTATTGAATCATACTCGGCCAATTCGTTCAAAAACGTAGCCATAAGTCTAACCATACACACTCGTGTCTCCCCTTGGTTTTTTCAAACATAAAATTTGAAATTATTTCAAACCAATAAATGTTGGTCATTACGCGCTGAAATATTTCAAACACGTTACCATTTACACAGCAATGGGAGCGCACCTTAAGACCCTGTGGTTTAGGAATAAATTTGGAATCCGACCAAATTGTCTAATGCTCAACATTACTATTAATATTAACATCAGATCAGCTGTGTATGTTAATAATCGATGAAAGCCGACTTAAGGTACGATTTCTAGGTATGGCACAAGGTACATAGTAATATCTTGGTTGTGACATCAATTTAGGAAAACTTTAGAACTGCATTGGATAACAGAATATGAAAAGAACAAATATTAAATTTCAAAATATCGGGGCAGTGTATTAAAGAAACAAAATCGAACGAATAATATGAACTAGAAGGCATGGAAAATAGTTATGGAATGGAAAAACAATAGGGTTAACAAGACTGTGAATGAAAGAATTTAAACTTACATTGTTAGTCTATGATACATAATATGCAGCATAAAAACTTTAGTATAGCAGAGTGATAACATTTACATTAATTTTAATGAATACCTTTTTATTATATTCAGACTTCAGACTAATAAAAATTAGCTTACAACAATAGGAATTTTCATAAACATCTTTCGAATAATTATTCCATAAGATGAACTCATCTTTACTAAAAATTATCCTTAACATGAATTACCTACTTGCATTAAAAGATGCCGGAAATTAAATGTTGTGTAAATCGACATTAAATAAAACTACAAAGAAATCAATGAAATTATATGATAAAATCATTTATTCGAGCTAGTATACCAGTTTTCGCAAGTACAGAAACTACATAATTACATACATAGTACACAATATATTCTTCTGTTTCTTGACGAAGATTTTCACATAAGACAAGTTGAAATTTCTTTTATCGTCAACTGCGATACGCTTCAAGAAAAATACAGGTATCAGAAGAAATGGTCTGAACGAAGCAACATAACAACTATACCCAGCGGAACCAAAAAAATTAAAAACATAGAATAGGTACGGGGGAAAACGGAAGTGAAACACAAGGAGAGGGGCGGCAGATTTTGTCGGTAAGATACAAATTATATTTAAATAGAAGGTGAAAAGAACGCACGGCATCTGCATATTAAACAGGAACGGAGAAAAAGTTAGATGAAGTGAAGGTGAAGAAAGACCATGAAAGGATCGTTCTGAACTGCAGTGTGAAAATACAATACTCTTTGCTCTTTCTGTTTCTCCAATCTGAATCACTTTCTCCAATTCCATATCTATAGGTCATCGTATACTATAATTTTGTGCAGTGTAGTGTTCGTACTAGAGCTGTGACTTTATAAGATACCCGGGTACCTGGGTATCCATGAGATATTCGAATACATATATGAGACAGTCGAGAATTTGCGATTCGGCAGTCATACTGCGCTACTTAGCACTCGCGTTACACTGCAAAAACATGACTTACTCATTCTTATAACATAATAATATACTAATATGTATTATTAGTAAATAGTGCTAAGTAACGCAGTATACGCGGCTGCGATCGAATAATAATTATTGTAATATCATTTTGAGTTTTATTCAGTTTTCCAGTCATTGCCGATATCGATCGAAAATGGTCGAAATACAATCGATATAAAAATATAACCAAATAACCGAATAGAAATTCTCGACTGTCTCATTATTCGAATATCTCGTGTATACCTACATACACCCGGGTACCTGGGTAATTTTTGTTTACCCAGGTATCTCACGGGTACCCCGGTAAAAGTAATAGCCCTAGTTCGTACTAATACTAATCAAACAAAATCATTTCCGAAATCACTTTAAAACAATTAAAAATTCGTAACGTATGGCTTATACTTTAAGTGATAATTCACAAGAACGTATAAATATTTTCCTCCAATGTTATGAATAAGAATCACGTATCACGATTTGCATTTACAAAGTTCCGTGTTAATCGGACGTAAAACCGGTATGCAAATTTTCAAACATTTCATATTCTTAAATTCGCTTAGATTCTTACACGAAGGTAAATTATTTAATCGATTCTATTAATCTTTATTATTTACAACGACCTTCTATTTTTACTTACATTAATGTAATTTAAATGTGATTGTGTAATTACTAAGAAAATAAAGAAATGTTAAATGATTATAAACTCTAGAATCTGGAAGTATTTAGAGTTCTTTGAAAGACTATCAAAACACCAATGGCATTTCAAAAAGTTTTTAATTTTTATTTGTCTAACAGGCACAATTCGGTCTAACATCTCTATGGAGAAATTGTTTATAATAGACATTTTTATCGACCTCTCAATTTTAACTAATGATCCTAACAATTATTATTACTTGTTACTTTTTACACGTTCTGTTTTTATTTTTCATTCTTTTCCTTTAATTTACTGAAAATTGATAGACGTTTATTGAAAAACGTGTAAGTTTTTAAGTGTCATATATACGTAGTATTATTTAGGTACTGGAAAAATGGTCATACTTTTTAATCAACGGTAAATCTGCAGTAAATTTTGATCATTAATGATCGGTAATAACACTTACACGAGGGACAACGTAACTTGTGCACCTTAAATATTGCCATTACTATTCGATCATGTCAAATTAATCTTTTTCTAAATACACCTTGGTTAACCCACCGGCGGGCGCGTACGTGTATTCAGTACACGGAGGTTAGTTTTTAGTGAAAAAAAAAAAACATTTTACCGTGATGGAATCTATCTAGCACTCATATGTATTCCTCTGGTGGACATTTTTAGATCATATGACACTTTGTTTAGGTTGAAATACAGTTTGGAAGTGTCTGTAAACTGAACGATAGTGAAACCATGCTACGCATTCTACAGTGTGGCGGAGCGGTGCGGTTGTCGGTTGTCCCTAATATCGGTTTATGGTACGGTCACGGAGCATTTATTGCTTCGCAATTTTTTCCCTGGAGAAGTCTTAATTTATTTATCAGGTATACAAGTAGTGACCGAAGCAATTCGTACAGTTATTAATGCGTATTTCGGTTTCACGTTATCGTTCCGTCCGTTCTCCTCAATAGCGAATCATCGCACCATATAAATCTTGGTGTTTCTGAACCAATGTGGAAATTTGAAATTTACATATTTCGTTGTTTTGTAAAAAATTGTCTTGCATTTGATGTAGCGACGCATAGGTACTCTCACTTCCTCTCTCTCTCTCTCTCTCTCTCTCTCTCTCTCTCTCTCTCTCTCTCTCTCTCTCTCTCCCCCTCTCTTTCTTTCTGGAGATAATGTACTAACGGTACACATGAAGAGAAAATTAGGAAGGTTGCATAAAAAATAATTTTTCTAGAAAATATGAAAAATTAATTTGGGATTTTGACTAAATCATTTCAGAGTTGTCATTCAACATAGAATCGAATTTCTAATGTACGATATTGGAGTCGAAGTCCATTGGGTCATTCCACGCAAAATCGGATACTTTTTGGAGCACCATTTCGGATTTTGTTCAAATTTGGATATGTTGTAGCCTTTAGCAATATATAAACGTATCTCGAAGGATTTTTGAAAATTTGCAAAAATTGTTGATTGTGCAGCTGTTTGACATATGAGCCGCTCAATGCACACATCGATTAACTCCACTTTTTGAAAAATCTTAAATTTAAGTGTCAAAGCCCTTGGTATAGTCATAACTTTTTATATTTATAATAACTTTCCTGAATAATAAAGATTAGCACCGTTAAATGGCAAATTTTTTTGGCCATTGAATAATAAGTAATTTATTTCAGAAGCCATTTCGATTAACTCCATACTCTAATATAAATCGTTTCAGTAACGCTGTATCTGTTCTGGCCGTGCATCGACGCTTATTTGTTTTTAAACAGCCGAAGATGCTCTCTCCCTCTCAATAATATTCGTAACAAAATCGCATCGGTAAACAGATAAAAAGAAGCACAATGCAAACGGTAGTTAGTATAGCAGTGATCTCGCACGCTGAATGTTACTGTGTACTTCTTAGTCTTTTCAACATTACTCCCAGATTGTTTTTAAAGAAATAAATATTATACCGTTATAATCAAGATGAGTGAGACTAATAATGTGAGTGAGGAAAGCAGTGATGATTCTTCAATACGATTTATCAACAGAAAGTCTGGTCCAAGAAGACGTTTATCGTTTTCCTCGGATTCATCGGATTGCAACAGTACAAACCCAACAAACACATTGATTGGGAGGAAAAGAAGTCGTAATCCTGTTAAATGGATACGAAATTTACAAAAGCATAACAGGATAAAAGGTTTGGCATACAGGAATAGGGGAGGAAAATTAATACCTGCAAAAACATTTGTCGATATACAATGCAGATGCCGTCAAAATTGCAATCAAAAAATTATTTCGGATGAGAGAGAGGCTGCCATGAAAGAATTTTATAGTTTACATAGTCAACTTGACCAAAATATTTTCTTAAGAGGTTGTATCAAAGTTAACGAAATAAAAAGAAGGCGCCCTACGAATGAAACTAAAGAACGAAGATCACATTCGTTTACATATTACTTTCGAAAAGAGAGACTTGATATTCCCGTTTGTAAAAAATATTTTAGAGACACTTATCAGGTGAGTGACGGGCGGATATACGATTGTTGTTCTAAAGAACAAGTTACATCTTTGGTTGATAAGCGCAAAGGCCGCGTTGCAAGCAATAAAATAGATGATACAAATGTTATAAAGCATATAAAGTCATTTCCAGCCTACAGTAGTCACTACACCAGAGCTCATAATCCAAGACGACAATATTTAAATCCTGACTTAAATATTAAGAAGATGTATGAACTATACGTCACAGAATGTGAAAAGGAAAACGTAGCACCAGTGAAAGAAAAATATTACTATAATGTGTTCTCTACAAAATTTAATTTACATTTTAAACAACCATCAAAGGATACGTGTCAAACTTGTGATGCTTTTCAAATAAAAATTCAATCTTCAGACGATGAGGGAATTAAGATGGCAAAAATTGAAAAGGAAACTCACTTAGAAGAGGCTGAACGGGCTCGCAGTCAAATGGCTGCCGATCGAATGGCAACATCGGAAAAATTGTTCGTATTTTCTTTTGACTTGGAAAAAGCTTTAGCCTTTCCCAAGTTGACCACATCCGTAGCTTATTATAAGCGAAATTTATATGTTTATAATTTTGGATGTCATGAATTCAATAAAAATATAAGCCACATGTTTGTTTGGCCAGAAACTGAAGGATCTCGTGGGTCTCAAGAAATTTCATCTTGTCTAATAAAGTACATAAAGACTTACGCTGCAAACTTCGAAAAAATAATAACATATTCGGATTCGTGTACCGGGCAAAACAGAAATATTAAAACCGTCTTAAGTTTATTGAAACTTGTTCAAAGCACGGAAATCAAAGCTGAATCAATTGACATGAAATTTTTGGTAAGTGGACACAGCTATTTGCCCAATGACTCAGATTTTGCCATTATTGAGTCATGTGCGAAAAAAAATCAAAACATTTTTTCACCAGATGATTGGTACCATATAATCAAAACATGTAAAAAGAAAGCGCCATTTCATCTAATCCAAATGACTCACCAAGATTTTTTGTCAACAAAACCTTTAGAACAGTCTATCATTAACAGAAAAGTAACCGTCACAGGGCTTCCAGTAAATTGGCTTAAAATACGCTGGATAAAGTTAGAAAGGTCCAAACCCTATCTCATACAATTCAAATGTGACTATAATGAAGATACAGAATTTCAAGCCATTAATATAAGAAAATCTTTAGTGGGTAGACCGCAAAGTTTGAAAAATATAGATCAGCCTTTATTATATCCTAAAGGTAGAACTGTGACAAAGGAAAAATGGAGAGACATGATGGACCTGCTAAAATTCATTCCTCCTGTTAAACACGATTACTATAAGAACTTGTCAACAAATCGAAATGACGAATCCTCGCATACAGCTGATGAAGAAGACATTATTTATAATATTGCTGAATCATCCCAAAGAATAATGCCGCTAACATAAAGCTGCTATGAATTAATTACAAAAATTATATTATAACCGAACTGCCAACATTCATTTTTATGGAAAAGCTGTGATAAAAATGTATAATAACTAACTTTTTCTGTAATAAAAAACTTAAAAATGTAAAGACTAAATTTAACTTTATTACTTTTTTCAGTTGCCAAATCGATTAACTCCACCAGTCACATAAAAACTGTAACATTACTGACGATTGTTTGTTGGCTATTCTTTCTTATTAATTTTATATACCGTTAGATGAAAGCTATATCTGCAATTATGCATTCTACATTATATATTTGAATTCATATTATCAGAGGAATTTTTAAAAACAATATACATTACATCATCGCGTTTCTCAACTTTTCGTTTTATGGAGTTAATCGATGTGTGCACTGAGCGGCTCATATATAGGGTCAACCTTTTTTCAATAAATCATAACTATTGAACTAACAAACTGATCAAAATGAGCTTTACGGGTACTTACAGTGGAGACATAAGAGTACCAAATAAAAATTATTTCAGTTAAAAAAAAGATATGTGTTAACCATTTATCTTGCAATTGTTTTAAATAAATGCCCTGCTTTTATACCGGGGAACTAATTAAAAACTTAAAAAAATAAGAATATAGCCCTATTTGTCCTCTTTACGGCCATATCGTCAAAAATATGGACACTTTAAAATTGGCCGTATGAAAATTAATTGAAGTGAACTGAACAGTTATACTATATGCTGGCCTGTTTCATAATAATAACAACAGTAATAATAAACTAGTGGTTTGCGTTATAAACTGAACCGTGTTCTCACTGCACCCGTCTGCGCTCGCTAAAAAATTTATTTAATTAGTTTAATAGATATGAAATTTACATATTTGAAGTATATTTATTCTGTATAACATGTATTTTATATATCTGAATAAATAGTTTGTATTAATTTGGCCGTCAAATCAAAATATCAACATATTTATACTTTGTGTACTGAGTACACGACCCGCCCGCTCATATAACAAAAATTGACATATAGTATACTTTTTTTTTTGAAGTTTTTCAAAGTCACTTTCAGTTTTTTAAATGCATCTCTATATTTTGTTTCGTCTATCTTTTAGCGGGTAAAAAGACGAACTCAACAAGTGGCGCAACATACTTTTTTGTCATTAGGACAGTAGAAATGGTGAAAAAAAGGTAATTTAAAGAAATTCTGTCAGACCTTCCGAATACGTAATAACTCCGTGTTTTCATATGCCATTTCTTCTGTTTTAATTGCAAAAAGGTACGATGCGGTACTTGCCGAATTTGTCTCCTTTTTTGCTAAAAGATAGACGACAAAATCGTAGGGTACCGTTTAAAAAACTGAAGATGACCTTGAAAACTTTGAAAAATGTGACCTACAAGAAGCATATTACAGTCAGAATCTGTTTCTGTAGGCCTCTCTAAACCATGGTATTTATAAAAAGAATAATTAAAAGTGATTCTGCGTAACAGAAATAACTAAGTCGATCAATTTACGTTGTCCACCCTGTTCATAAATTTCGTTTTATTTAGTTTCTCTATAGTATTTTAATTTTGTATTTATTTTGTAAGGTGTATCATTAATACGAGGTAAAATATTGTTAGTCAAGACTTTAAGATTTTAGGATTTGTGCATTCTATGTTATTAAAATAACAAAGTTGTAAGATTTACCAAATTTTGTATATATTATATAAAAAGGGCCGTCTGACCCTTTTCCATTCTACTTTCCTATTACTTTTATTTAGATCTAATTGTTTGACACGCAATCGTATTCAAAATGATAGCAAGCAGTACTTACTGGAATAGTATAATTTTATTATATTAGAGTGTGCAATCTTATAAAGTGCTTAAAACAGCTGGAAAATTAGATGGAGTTACGTGATTGAATATAACTATATTTTGAGAAACTTATAATGTGTATCTCGAAGATTGAACTACAGAAACGCCCGAACATTTTCCGGCGCGTAACAATTATATCTTTGGAAAGATGCGATCGAGTGCAGCAATTTTTTGATCCACTGTAGATTTTCCCATCCTATATAATCGATGAAAAAAGAACGACAGAGCGTTAGATGACCGATGCCGCGTATAATCGCAGCTTTCAATCTTGAACGAACGAGGGTAGTTTTTGGCGGCGATATAAGGGGTGGTGCAGCCGACGCTGGTCGTCGGAAGGAGGGGGATGCGGTATTTAACAACGCACCAGGGGTTCCCTCGAGTAATAAAGCAGCGGCGTGGACGCCACGCGTCGCCCGTTATTGCCTTCTACACGCACGATGGTGGACGCACCACCAGTAACCCTCGCCTCCTCCAGATTCCTGCGATCCACCGCCGGTGGATCATAGTTTTTGAATCGAGGGTATGACCGAGTCACGTGCACAATTTTCTTCATTATCTCGATGTTTGTAAGTATTGATCGGTAGATAGCAGGTGATAATTGCTCACAACAATTTCTTA